CTCGCAGTGCCATACTGCATAGCTTGACAACCAACCAATAATACCTGCACGTGACCAAACTCCCGTAAAGTGCTCCACTCCCCTGAATCCAAAGGCTGAATGAATGGTGGGGAGATATCGGCATTAACCGATTTGAAATGACACACAAAATGGACTGCCGAAGAACCACTGGTCAAGGAACGATGCCTGTTGTAGATATTGCTTTGTCATCTTAGGTTAACGGGGCTTAAACGACAGGATAATCAGGATTGTGATGTCTGGCCGTTAGACATAATATCTCAGATTGGTAGTTGGTGATGTTCCTTGCTGAGGCTGAGGTCCATTCTGTTCGAAAGCAACTATGCCTCAACGTGATTTTGCCACATTTTGTATCGCCGTCCAACACCTCTGTACGGTTTCCAAGAGGAAATGATTTTGAAAAGATTTTCATTCTCTTATGGGGCGGTTCTTTTGTAAAACCAAGTCAGGCGCCGGTCTCTGAGCATACCTGATAGTTTTCACAGACCTGTGGTGGTTAGCACAGGTTCGTTCGTTACCCGGTAATACCATCGCACCTGAAGAATATGGCGCAGACAGCGCTACTGGCTGCCATCACTATGACAGCCACAAAACTACTCCTATATCTCGGTGAACAATACGACGCGATTGGTCCCAATTGTTAAATCACGTGACCTTGGGGTTGGTTGGAAGCACAGAAAACTGAATCAGGGTCGACGTTGACTTTCGTTCGTGGCGCCTCCACAAAGACGATAAATCAGATGAAGGATTCCACTGGCACGCTGACATATGAAAATCGTGCCCAGGTTCGTAAAGCAGCGTGGTACATGGACCTTTTGCCATTTTCTGGGCCTACATGTTCCTAAATGTTTGCTCTCAATACAGTAACGTTGTTCTATAAATACTGTACGAGTACCATACCCAAATAATAGCGTTCTGATTATTTAGGTAATGAGCAGTTGTTGAAATCATTGATGAACAGCCTAATCGCCTCCTCAACTGCATCGGAACTATCCGGATTAAGCAATTCTGTACTTATGGAAATGATCTTCCTGCTCATTGCCTCAGGTGACTATGACGACTAGTGCGTTTGTGCATTTGGAGAGGGGGGGGGGCAGTTTCAAGTTTCATAAAGCGAAATGTTGTCGATTAAGAAGAATACTTCGTAATAATGGAACTTCATCGTCTGCGCGACGAACTTCGCTACCAGTGCTTTTCCGCAGCAGCGACGACCAT